CCCACCAAGCCACGCCCACAGAACTAGTAGTAAAAATTTTTGAATCCCACCACTGGATCACATGACACAGGAACACTGCAACCATCATAAATAGGAGTCACTTGCCAAGCATCTCAATTTTGATCATGTGACCACGAGGATGATGCAATGGTCATAAGTGTGAAAAACGGTCATAAATCACTTTTTTCAATAGCGGTAACTTTGAACAGGCACTAAATGAACTGTTGTAAATCAAGGATTAATTTTAGTTTTTTATATCTAACAACTTCTCTTCTCTATCAGACAATGTGTCCAGTCCACCTTTCTCTTTTCCACAATATTCAACGCAAAGGAGAAAGAGGGAATTGTAGCTTTCTCTTCCACTTATTCTCCAACCACCATAGGAATTAACTAATAGGAAGTATATTTTCCTGTTTACAGCTCATCATCTGCAATCCTGTCCAGAAATTCCAATTTAGAAGATAGTTGGGAATGTAATGTATATGTGCTAAACATTGATTTATTCATATATTTCTATGCTGGTGATACAAGTATAGATTGGCTTTATTGATTACCGAGCTACAGTTATAAATATAAGCTCTCTCTGTCTCTAAACTCATTCCTAATCTAAAATCTAATCTATTTTACCAAGCTTAATGTAAAAATATGATATTCATCTTCTATGACAAAGAGACTCAAAAAGAAAAAGAGAGAGAGAGAAAGGTTTCATGTGTTGAATGCAACCTTTCCAAGGGGATTATAGGGCAAGAAAACTGAAACTATAAGGGGATTATATATTCAGCAATTGCTCATCCAAAATGTAAAATAATGTCAGTCTATAGAAGCTGAATGAAGGGCATCTTTGAGTTCCAGGTCACTAACTCAATCACACACAAATACCTTGTGGCAATGCTTGTGACAAAGTAAAATGAAAATATACAATAAAGGTGTATTTTTTCCTCTGATAAACCCAAAAATAAGATGATAAAATGAAAGTTACTTGAAAAATTCCACTTTTCTGCCTAAATAACTACAAACATTTTATAAGAAAGATGAAAACTTAATTTAATATAAATAATTAATCAAAAATGAAAAGAAGTATTGAAAAAATATTGCAATTATCTTAAACCAAATAAACTAAAATAAAACCTAACCTGCATATTTTGATAAGACCCATTTAAGATGGGTCTTATCAAAATATTGATTTTGATTCTGGAAATAAAATTTATTTATTTATTTAGCGTATGGCAAATACACAGACATGGTTCAAATGTTAATGTCCAGTCCATCCAGCCATTCAAGGACAGGGTGGTCTATGTTTTAAAAAATCAGACATTGGGTTGGTGTAAGCTCTTGATGGACATTCGGACAAAATGTGATGGGAATTTTGTTGAGGAGCACCACAGTCACACTGAGGGGTAAAGACAAGACCCCACTTAAACAATGAGTCCTGGCAGACATCATATTGGGTACGGATCCTGTTCAGAGTTGACCAATGCTGGCGAGGAAGGTCAAAACCTGGCACCTTTTGTGTAGAGTCAACTATGTGACTGCCTGTATCTGGGTGTTCAGCAGCCCATTTGGTTCTCCACTGTGTGTTGATGTTAAAGTTGTTAGACAGCTGCTGAGCAAGTGCCAGAGAGGGCTTCTTGGATTTAAGCCTGCCAATTGATAGATGAGGAAGATCACTGTGTTCAGGAAGATGTGGGTTTCTCATATTTTTTTTACTCCTTCACTAGGGCTTCCTGCCTTCATAGTTGGTGATGCAATGTGGCTCAAGACGGGGAGCCAGCAAGTAGGAATAGATTTTATACAACCGCTTATGAACCTGATTTTATCTTGTTATCTCATTGTATATTGTTTCCATTGCATGGCAATAAAATAAAATAATGGTTCAAAACTGGACCACCAGTCCACCAGAATATATTTTGGGTATGCATTTTAGCTATAAAAACTGCTCTCTTGGGTAAACCAGATAGGAAATACGATTAGATGAGCTGAATCTATTTTATTGTAAGGCTATATTAACAGAACCTTGAAAGTCTGAAGACACAACCATTTTTAACCATCTGATCAATTAGGATGAGTTCTTCCTAATTTTCTTTTTCTGACTGTTAAGTGACTGTAGGGTTTTCTTGCAGCCCCTTTTTTCCTTTGTCCTTCAAGATCACCCCACACATTCCATTACAAAAACACATGGGAATTGATCAGGAATGAATGTGTAGCTATATAGTTAAGCTGTAAGCAACCAATTTGTGGGACCATCTTTCCCCATTTGTTTCTACTCGTCCAATTCGGTCAGGCAGGGTGGACATGCTTTAGGTCCCATCAGCCAAGGAATGCCAGTTTCTGCTGTAGTGTCCATCCTATGGACAATCCTTCCTTCAAAGACTTCCCAGAATGGACTTGACCTTGCTGGCCTTTCAAAAACTCTTAAAGACCTGGGCTCACAAACATGTGCAGACACATGTTTCATAGTTGTATCAGTGATGATGGGATATTAAATATTTTTGGCTATGCCAAAAAATAATTTTTATGTTACTGATGTTGTTTTGATTTTATTTTAATTCTGTTGTCTGCCCAAAGCCACTTTTTGAGATGGGCAGCCATACAAATTGAATTAACAAATATACAAACCAACCAACCACAAACCCCTCCCACCACCAGTTTTGCAGTTCCTAAATTAAAATGAAATGCCCTCCAAGGTAGTAAGCGAATAGACCACAGAGGAATTGCCAAGTTAAATCACAAAGCTAAAAGACCATTACCACTACCAGGACACAAAAGATACAAGGGGATAATCATTAAAAAAAATGAGAAACAGAGCCATCTAATGGAAATGGCAGCACTTTCAGCAGGGCAGAGAAACCAAACGAAAACCATGGTCTCTGACGTTACATCAAATTGAGTACTACAGATTCAAAATGACACTCCAAAGCCAAGGCAAGTAAACCACTACATACCCATGAAAAGTAACTCATAAATCAGGATTCTGAAGCCCGGAATTTTAACCAGCCCCCATGTTTAGTAGGGATGGCTCCAGAGATGTCTTTGAATGATCTAGTACCTAATAATTAATGGAATATGATCCTTCCCCACGTTTTCTTGTTTTGCCAAATGATAACCAGCAGAATAAAGCAAGGACAGGAGACCTCCAAGTCTAGTACTGTACAGTACTCAACACTGGGAAAATAGAAGGTGAGAGAGAGAGAATGAAGATACTGAGATGCTGTTTTACATACAGCTACACATCCTCTCTATTTTTTGGCTATGCAGCATATATGTTATGTGCCCAAGGACAACGAAAACAAATATCACACTAGAAGCACTGTATCTCACTTTAATAGAAATGTACCATTCCAGCACTGACATTTTTCCTGCTTAGCTGAGCTGTCTTGGACAAGATCAAGAAAATTCAATTATTCATTCATTTCACATTTGATATATAAAATGAATGCCTATTTAAATTCACTCGGGAAAGTTTTAGTTCAGGATGCATTTAGCAATAAAACCTTTGTATAGCCTGAGGGAATACTCCAATCTCTGCTCCCTGAAACACAGACCAACGCTCTTTACAGACACACACAAACACAAAAGCCACAAATGCATCTCAAATATTAGAATTTAGCCTTTGGGTGAAGGTTGCTTTCAACTGCCTTGCAGATTTTGCTACTCTGCCATTTTCTGCTCGCCCATCCTTTATCTTTATTTTTACTACAAATTATTTTCTTGATAACTTCTTTTGCTGTTGCCAGAACATCACATTCAGAAAGAACCTATTATTAATGATAAACTTATTTACAGATATTTAAAAAAGTACATCTTCTTTTACTTATGGTGTTTAATACACTTAAATCTTTTGTGGCTCCTCAGCCTGCAGGATAAAAATCAATTGATGTAACCCTTTTCCCAAAATTGCTTTTTAGGAAAATAATTTCAAAAATGTGGTATCCATGCCTAAAAGATAGAAGAGAAAATGTATGCATGCTCTAGGATATTTTTCCCAGCATATGCATTCTCAAAATATGAAGTTCAATTAGGGCCTGCAGCTTAAATATAAATGTTTAATTGCTGTATCCTTCAAATAGGAAACACAATAAATATATGCAAAGGGTATGTATGCCACTTCCAACCAGTGTTAAGAATACTGTAATATTAATATTTGGAACTTAAGAAAAAATGTACTAAAGTCAAATCTGATGTAAATTTCATCATGGAAAAAACTGAAGCATCCACATTTCTTTCAGTCTCAATGGAGATTATTAACGACAATAAAGTTTGGCAAATAAACACTGTATGATTCTTTTTCCTAGACAGACTTTTTTCATAAAAGTATGCTTTATATCTTAAAGGCAGACTTAATTGCTCAACAGAAAGCAGTTTAAGATGTTTTTGAAGCTAAATGGAACTGAAATCATAGATAAAATGTAGAAAAGATCTTGTCAATCTGATGCTTCAACCAGTTCAGTCTATAACAATTGTTGCTATTAATTCACTTCAGATGTGATACCATACTAGAAAATAATATGAGAGAATTTAAGATTACAATATTGACTGCAAACTTCTCCCATGCTCTGCACACCATCTGGCATCACATGTTTTTGTTTCCCTACATAAACTCCCCTCAATATGACATGGTATGGTAATTCACTTCTAATGATTTTTCGCTGTATATTTTGTAAATGTTTGAGTTTTCACACAATAATGTCAGGGGAAAAAAAAAGCAAAGCTAAAGATGTTATATAGATACTCTTAACTTAAAACATACAGATAAATTCTATGGTTCAATACTGCATTATGAACAAAATAAATTGTAATGTGACTTAAAGAGAATATTTAATTACAACATACACATTAACATCCTGTAATTAATTCTGAAAACTGTAATTAACTTAGTTAAAATTTCCTAGAATAGATACTGACAATTTTCATAACAAAATATCTCAATTCTTCTCCTTTAATTACTTTAATGTTGCTTTAATGTAACAATCTTTTTTAAAATAGATTATATGATATATTACCTGTTGCCTAATTTCTTCTTCCATTTTAACTGGGGATCCCAGCTCTGCAACTTGCTTCACCCCTTCACTTGCATATCCTCCATATTCCCAAAGAACATAGTTTTTGGAATGAGATCCACCAATAATTGCAGACCAGTGGTTGGCTCGTCCTTTAAAAAGAGAAAGAGTACTTTAAGTGTTTATGAAAAAGTGTGCAATACATTGATAAAAGCTATTGCTTCATCTACATTTGCAGGACTCCTTTCTAAAGACACTTCTTGGAAAATGGTTCATAGTTCTTACTGACATTGTTTAAACTTAAGGCTTTCAAGATATTGTTGTCAAATTTCTACCTATATTTTTAACATTGACAATTGCATACAGTGTAAAGTTTCCAAAATGCTATCCTTTAAAACTACCAAAGGAAAGAAGCAGGTATTTTTAAATATGAAGACACTTTATGATTTAATAATTTAGACTTTTGTTCATTGTTACAAGTAGGTTACATTTTTAAAAAAATCAAAGGTGAAAAGGTGAATTTAGAAGGATAAGAAATACTAGTCACAATACAACTTCAAAGTATCTTGTATGTAAGACTTCATTCTTCATTTTACTGTCTTAGCTATGAACCCCAAATATGTCAGTGTATATAATCTGAAATAACATGCAATTCCTTGTACTGAAAAAGATAAGAAAAAAAAGTCAGCACCTTGGACAGCATAATGCACTGTTCAATGACACTCTCTTTTAACTAGAAGACTTATTGCACCAACAAATGTCAGGCAAATGAGGCTATAAGGAACATAATTTCTGACTATTACTGGCTCCAATCCTTGAAGAATCTTCAATCATTTCTAAATCTTCACAATGTTGCTTCTTCAAAGTGAAGAAGCCACATCAGGTTTATCTTCTGAGATTGTAATCAGACTATATTTTAAGGTTGTAAAACTGTATATTCAATAATGAGCAATGTCCTTGAGTAGGATGGCATACTATTTCTTGGACTTCATTTTTTTTCCAATGCTTTTCTTGAATTAAGGAAACAAGAAACTGCAGAATCTTGAATAAGGGGTGCAAATTAATTTCATAAACTAATGTGAAAGAAAGCAAAATATGTCAGATCAGGATAGGCCTGATCCATTCAGTTGTTTTGATCCCCTTCAATTGAGATTCTCACCTTACTTCCATTTAGGAAGCACAAAAAATGAGATAACTTGCTCAGAAACATCAGAAATTTAATGATGCATTTCTAAATATCATTAGGAAAAATTATGGATACAGATATATCAAGAGACAGGCTACTGGCAGGCAAATGTGTCTAAAGATAAAGAATATAAGTCGAAGTATCAGGACAGCTGCTGAGACTCTAATTGCTGCCTACGGTTTTATGACTATTTTACCTATAAAAGTATTTTAGTGATACTTTTCAAGATTGGTTAAGAGCAGGGGTTTGAACTTGACAAATCACGAGTTGAATGCATTCAGTCTCTTATAATGTGAAAAGTTTTGTTGTATTTTAGTATTCATTCCCAGATGAAATCTGAGAAAAATTATAATGGCATATTTCAGTAGCCTGCTAAATCTATGGTATTCTAAAAATACAAACTGCAAACCACCAGTTCCTCTAAAATATATGGGACAAGGAATAAATTAATATTCTGTATATACATGCATGTGGTCTGTAAGTATGTGTTCGTAAGTGTGCAGTCTATCTGTCAATGTGGAAATCAGTTTCACTGAGATCACTGAAAGCTGGTTTCTATTAAACTTGCTTAGGATTCAGACATTGTCTTTCTTGCAAGTGCTTCCTAGGTATTTCAGTGGAATGTACTCCCAAATCAGTATGTGAAATGTTAGAGCCTCAAGCAAGCAAAATGCTGTTTTATGATGAAATGTCTATGCAATCTACTTAAAGGCCCAGAAAGATTTTCAAACTACAGATTGGAGTATATCTCAAATTGCCATGTATAATAAATGTTTCAATTGTATTTACAGTATTTTGTCAGAGGCATGAGAGAAATGTGCATGTTTTATAAATATATTTCAGACCCTGTCAAGACCAGAATTTTAAAAGTTTTAATCTGAAATACATTTTCTACAAGGAGCTAGGAAATTAAAAATTTGTAAGTAATTTAGAGAAAGACATCAGCAGCATCAGTGCTTATATCTTATTTATAAGTAGTTACATTAATACTACCAAGAGGGAAAAATAAGGAAACTTTTCTTTAAATTATCTTTTTGATTTTCATAGAAATCTAACAAAGTCAGCATTTTGGTCAAATTATATTCTCAATAAGAAGAAAAATGGCTCCTTACAAAATACCAGGCCTATTTTTACCAATAGTTCTACAAAATGCTGCATTTGAAATGTCTTTGAAATGTCTCATGAAATTAACACGGCAAATGGAATACCATTCAATAAATAATAATATGAAATAGATTTATAGAAGCCATCCAAGTGAAAACTTATTAGGATGTTTCAGAAGAACTCTGATGATGAACTTTCCACAATTCTCCACAGTCCAAAGTGAATATGGTTTTGCTTCACTCAATGTTTTCATATCTTCTACAAAACAAACAGCCATTTTGACAAGTACATTTCATTTCTAAAACTAAGGTATCTTGATTGGAAGAAAACTTTCTGGCCTCCTAGGAATTTATAGCTACAGTTTGCAGTTTGTTGTTCTGTGGGAGTTAGTGCTATCTCCATTAGTGTCAATATTTTTGGCAAAACTCCCATGTCTGAATGACTGTAAAGCAAAGATAATAATTCTTATTATGGCAGCACCAGGATTCAAGAATGTTCAGATTTATGAAGTGAACCTGTATAGGAATGCAGGCAAAAAAAAGGATAGTTGCATTTTCTGGCATGTTTTATATCACTATTGTTAAGTTTAACAATATTTAATCATTTCTTAATATTTAATCATTTCTTACAGCCTGACAACAGCATAAAAATTATTAAACCTCTACATGGTTATTTATCACTTCTGTAATTCTCAAGAGGACAAAGGGCTTTTGAAAGGATATTTCTTTCATCTTGTGATGTAGCTGTACATCATTTCATTTTCAAGTGGGAAAGATTCCAGAAAATAATTCTCCCATATTTCTATAAAAGAATCAAATGTTGATCCCTTGCTTTTTATATATCTCACAAAGCTAATATTCCTACTATTTTTCAAACATTTGATCAATACATGTGCTTCAAAGTCAGTCCCATTTAATCCAGCAATTGGCCTGTGGGGATATCACAGTCATATTATGGTTTAGCTAGGAGTGACATGACTGTGTCCATTTGCTTCCTTTCAAAAACAAAGTAACACAGGAGATAAGGCTCTATGATTTATTATTTTTAATACAGGGGCCTAAGCATTTTGGCTATGGGGCATATTTAGAATTTTGAGACACTTGTATACAGTCTCAGAAATGGCTGTTATGCTAGAATGAGATATTATAACTCATTGTTACTGCTTGTTCTGTTATGATTGTTTAAATTAAACCCTGATAATATTATATAATAACTATTTCTTCATAACAATCAACAGCATAATTTTAATTCAATACAGTTTTATTCACAGTTACTATTTATAACAATGCAGTTTTTAAGATCTACTCTCTGCCAACAACTGTTGTTCTATGTGTGAGGTAAATAAACTATGTTTAAATTTATTCTGCCCTCTATCAATGTTCCAGGTTCTTAAAGAAACAGTAATCCATATATCATTTCAACTTCCCTTTTTGCAAAGAGCTAGCTAATAAAACCAAAAGCACATAAAAATAAATAATTCACTTAATCATAATGAATAATCAGCCACCAAGAGTTTATTAAGCCAATTAAACCAATATCTTGCTTTTCCAGCATGTCATAAAAATTCCCATGTCCAATCACCATGCTACTGGACTTTTCAAACATACTATATGTGATATCAGTTCAAAGGCTGAATCAGCATCCATGGAAAAGGAAGCCTTTCTAAAGTTTAGCAGCAGTGAGTAGATCAAACAGTATAGCAACAACTCCAGACATAGTTTTTTGAACTATGTTATTAGTTATTAAAAGATCTTCTTACAAGGCTACAGCTTGGAACAAGACAGTGAAAGGCACAGGCATTATGGCAAGAATTTCAACAAAACATTACTCTACACACACACACACACACACACACACACACTTCCAGCATCACTTGAATTTCGTAAACAGCTAGGAACTTAGGGTCTATATTTGAAATATTTTATATTTATTTTGTGTCTTCAAGACAGTATTGACTCCTGGCAACTGTCTGGACAACCCCTTCAATTTTTTTGACAAGATTTTGAAAGTTGTTTACCTCCTTCCTAGAGTTGAGAGGAAGAGAGTAGTTCAAAGTTACCCAAATGTACCCAGCTTTCTCTGTGTCTACGGCAAAGCTAGAACTCACAGTCTCCAACTTTCTATAGTCTGGTGCCTTAACAAATAACCAACTGGCTCTCTATACTGGAAATATTTTCAACTTATTTAAGGCCAAAACCTGTTTTTGTGTATATTATTATAGAACTCAGATGCTCTCTTCTGGATATTGATTTGCAGTAATATAGGGCTTCTATAGCATGATGCTTGCCTAGGAGTAAGAAACTTGAAGACCAACTTATTTTCTTCCATTTATAGTCCCTCTTGGGTTTTGGTGGTGATGAGAGGTAAGCTATAGTTTGAGGAAGTGACAGAGAATGAGAGTGTGATTGTTAAAGGCAGGATGTATATTTCCAGTCTATAGTTCATTATGTATCAGTAAATTTTATGGTCTATCAGTATTACTGAATATAGAGGCAACTGAGAGTTGTTGGGATGGGGGGGGGGGGGGGGACTCACTGATTTAAGAAATTGGTTCTTCTATTATCACTGCCAGTACTATTAGTAGTAGTAGAAGCAAACCAGGCAAAGGGAGAAATAGGGAGATGGAAAAAATGGACTGGGTGGGTGGATGGGGAGGTTGTTCAGAACTGTTGGAGAGATTTAAAAAGCTTCTGTATTCACTGAGATGGACCCATCTGAACAATTGATTGTTGTTATACCTCCATATTTTGGAGACAACATCTTGACTAAGCTTGACAGAAAGAATTCCATGCTAATAATAGTCTATTTAGCATGAAAGTCAGATTCCCGTGCAATAGAAACATTGTAAATAACAGATAACAG